GATCAATACTAATTAAATAATATGATTTCATATTAATATATTAGAACTTATAATATATTAATATGTTACAAATATCATCTTCTCACAAAAGGGCTACCCAAATGTCCCGATGCCATGCAACCCAAATGGACCATGCCGGGTCAGGTCAACTATATACCAATTATAGTTATGGACTTAGACACTAATCCAACAATTATGACCAAATAAACACTTAGTCAAAAACTGAGAATCCCACTAAGGGTAAAATAACCATTTTACCCCTGCTCTAACTTTGGGCCATAACCAAGACCCAATCCCAACTAATCCTTATAAGTGCACTCATGGCCCACTAAGGCTCACTAAAGAAAATTGGGCCCAACTTCTCAAATGGGTTTTTCCTCACAAGCCCAACAAGTCCTTGGGTCCTTGACTGACTCGTGAAGGCCCATCTCAGCCCAACTACTACTATATCAATGGTCTGGGCCAAACCGAGGCCCAATAACAAAAAGCCCACTGTCTGATCGTACGCTGAGCGTACCCTTCTGTACGCTGCGCGTACTGCTTGAATGGCTTGTATGTTGCGCATACTGGCGTGTACGCCCAGCGTACTCTCCTGTTAACCCATTTTTTCCAAAACTGCTTAATCCCTTAAGACACTACGTCCAAACTACAGATTTGAGTCCAATACTTCATCCTAACCCATAAAGTCGATCACTTGGTGGCTTGCAACCCACCAAATGAACCCAAATCTAAAAATAGCAATAAACTTCCATGGAAATGGCTAGATCTCATGCATGGCTACATAAAAGCTTCAAAGCTTGCAACTTTACTACTTAAGGGACACTTTGAGCTTCAAGGTGGCAACCCTAAGCTTAAAAACGAAGTTGCATGAACAAGATCCATTATTTGGACCTAAAAAGGTCCAAAGCTTCAAGACCCTAGATCTAAACTTCTAAGAGGAAATATAGGAGCTTTATACCTCCTTTGGCCAAAAGATGAACTTGTTCCAGATCCTTGAGCTCAAGATACTCAAGTGCTTCTCCTCTAACTTCTCTTCACTTCTTCCAAGCCTTTCTTCACAAAAAATGAACTCAAAAAGGTCAAGCACACACAACAATGGAGTATGAGGCGAACTAGGGTTTTCTGAAGGTGAGGGACTAGTGAGGAGGGTAGAGGGGAGGCTATAATGGGATATTTATATGTCTTAAACCCTAAAAATTAGGGTTTGGCATCTGCCCGCGTACGCTGGGCGTACCTCTTGGTACGCTGCGCGTATGCCCCAGTGTCCCTCGAATCTAATGTGTCACTAAGCCTCGAGTACGCCAGGTTACGCCCAGCGTATGGCTTATGGGCAGCCCAACTTCTTGGCCTATTTTTGCTAAGGTCCACCCCTAAAGGTTCATTGTCCAAGTGTTAGCCCAAAGCTAATATTAATTTACATAATCTAAATGATACCTCGAGAGACGAATGTTACAAAACTTCTCAGGATAGTGATCTGTCAGCGAGGTGGACTCCGACCTCACCGTAGGAGGACTGGAATTCCAGCTCCGCCGGAGACGACGACCGCTCGAGAAGTAGTGGAGGAGGCATGTGGTATCAACGAAAGTAGAAGAATGTAACATCTGAGTTTTTTTTTGTTGAAGAAGAGGACGTAAGTGAAAGGCAGTGGCGTTTTGATGGGCTAAAGAAGACGGTGTCATATGGACGAAAAGAGAAAACGTAAAACTTTGAAGTTCAAATTGTGAATCCAAAAAATTATGTGGCGGAATTCCAAATCCCAAAAGGTTCCTATTCACGAACCTTTTGTGAATTACTAATATATATATATATATATATATATATA